TCAAAAAAAAAAAAAAAAAAAAGAACCACCTTTGCTGTGGCCTAATAAAGAAGTTTTGGCTGAGATTTAAATAACTGCTCACCACTTCTAATTCCCTCTATTGGTGATGGTTAGATATTTCCTTCCACTAATTCTTTTTATACATTTGTAAGTTTGAAAGCAAAGAGCTCTCTTGGGCCGGGGATTTAGCTCAGTGGTTTTGCAGCCTGCTGCGCAAGTGCAAGGACTTGAGTTCGATCCGGGGTACCAAAACAAAGAAAGCAAAGAGCTCTCATATAGATCTTATCACCAAAAAAACACATGACTTTTCCATATTATCTAAAGCCAATAAAAGATAAAAATATGTTTATTTGGGCACAAATTTCAGTGTCTTTAAATAAGTATCAAACAACCTTGCAATAAGCATTCCCATACCCATCTTATTTTTACTCAGTGAAAATAAGTATGGCTTTTGGCCTGCCATTTGTAGTAATATCCTTATAATGTCCTATTAATTGATTTTATCCTTTTTATCCCACTACTACAGCAAGAAAAATTTCATCCTGTCTTTAAGCCTTCCAGACCCTTGGAAGGGAGAATTGCCCGACTTAATCAGAACTGATGTCCTCTGGAGGCTACTGTCCAGCAAAGACCAGCTTCCTGTCCAGACTGTACTCCTAGAGTCTTGTGTACTTTTCATAGCTTTGTACCCAGGTCTACAGAAATGCTGGCACTAAGCAATAACATACCATCTGGTGTGACCCATAGAAACCAAGATATTGAAGAGAAGATTAAGGAACAAAGCATACTGTCTACCTATACACTCCCATCTGGTAACTCAACAAAAGATCTGAGGAACATTTATGACATAAAACCATTTCCAAAAATCACAGATACTCAAAAGACAGAAGATTTGTATTGGAGACAGCTGTCATTAAAACCCCCACCCATACATTACTGTAAATCAAATGATTACATTAACTATGAACACTTTAAGTCTACTCTACGTGATCCATATACTATATATCAAAACTGTAGTAACCTTAGTGAGCCTAGTCTTTTACAAAATATGCCAGACATAGAAGCTTGCACTTTAGAACATTTTTTAAGTACACCAAAAGAACAGCTGAGCATGAACATAGAAAGTGATGAAGAAACAAGTCCTATTTGGGGTTGGATTCCCAGAGCTGGAGTGACCAAGCCTCACACCAACCTGCTGGATCTTAATAAGAACTCTTTCTCAAAATCTGGCGCACAAAAACGTTTTCATAATTCAATTCTAGAAGACCATAAAGACCTCAGACAAATTGCATTCAGGGAGGAAACACCAATTCTATGGCCATAATTCCTATTATTTCTATAATTGAGATATTCCTCCTTCTCTACAAAACCCAGCCTCTTATAAGAGAAGAAAAAAATATAACAATTTTCTTCATTTTGCTGGGTACTATCTCTAGATTAAGCCATGATGACCTTGTTAATTAGGATTATGTTTAGAATTTAAATTAGGATCTGGTCAGAAGAACCCAAAAAAGTGATGTTCTGCCTTCTTGAACAGTTTAACAATTTGTCAATAAATATTATAAACAGAAAATTCTAGTCTTTACTCTCATTTTCAAATAATACTCTAAAGAAATTTTCAAAAACTATGGAAAAAATCTGTACAACAAATAATAGGGAAAAGTTTTAGATAACTTAATAGATTGAATATTAAGGTAGTTGTAGAAGCAAAATAAGTAATGTGCTCTTTTAAGATTTGCTTTTCCCTTAACTCCTTATCTGACTCTAACCAATAACCTAACAAAGTTACAATGCCAGGGTGAATTTACAATGTATATGTGCCTATCTTGTGTCTGTGACTTGTAAATAGGAACTGGAATTGTATTTACACATCAAAGACCACTAGGAATAAGATAATGGCTAAAAAAGATATAAAAAGGGAAATGCTGAGCAAAGAGAGTGAGGATACTAACTTGACCCATTTCTGGTTTTCCCCGCTCGCAAGAAATTTTATTATTTTATCCGAATTCTGTATCTCCCTGTATTTTGTTCCGAGATTTTTGGAACACAAACTTTACATCATTTTATAAAAAATGAAAATTCAGAGGCTGGGGATTTAGCTCTGGTTCCGCCGCCTGCCTCGCAAGCGGAAGGTCCAGAGTTCAATCCCCAGTACCAAAAAAAAAAGAAAAATGAAAATTTGCAAAAACTTAAATGCTCAAGAATTGACAAATGACTCTACAACCTATAATATCTTAATAAAACACACAAGTGAATACTGTCCCTTAATGTAAATGTTTTTGAAAAGTGTTCACCATGAATTTAGCATGAGGGCCAGGGATTTAGCTCGGTGGTGCCACCGCCTGCCTTGCAAGCACAAGGTCCTGAGTTCAATCCCTGGTACCAAAAAAAAAAAAAGAATTTACCATGAAATAACATAATTAGAAAGTATGAAACTCAAAACCTCAATTAACAGGACGGACATCTCTTCAAACTATTACCTTGATAAAGTAAATATGTGGACCTTGATCATTTATGTAAGCAGGTGGACAAAGCAGGTAGAAGAGATGAAATTCAAAATGGTCTGCAGGTACAAATTATAAGTTAGAAATGTTTCCCTCCCTTTAACCTTCTGATGGAGAAAACATAACTATTTCTTTTAAGCAGTTAAAATTATTTTATTGTGAAGAGCTAATAATGGCTTTAGTTAGTTACTGGTAATTTCTAATTGTGGCAAGAAAGAAAGGCTTGATAGTAGTTATTTCTAGACCCCGGAATCGTCATTTTTAAAAGTGTTCAAGAGTTTAGCTAACCCTCATATGCAAGACAGTGGGTTTAATGTACGAAAAGGTACATTTTAAACATAGTCATCTTGTATAAATCTCATTTTAGTTTCTTTTTTTCATGACCAACATATCATTTGGCTACACCTTCCTTAAAACTATACTGGGCTAAATTTTTTGTTGTTGTTGTACTGGGGATCAAACTCGGGTCCTTGAGCTTGCACGGCAGGTGGCAAAACCACTGAGCTAAATCCCCAGAAGGGGCTAAAATTTTAAAAACTTTTTTCAAGCTGCATCTATATTACAACTAGTTAGGTATTATGGGAGGCAGAAATGTACATAGTGAGGGCTGGGGATTTAGCTCAGTGTTTCTGCTGCCTGCCTCGCAAGTGGAAGGACCTGAGTTTGATCCCCCGTACCAAAAAAAAAAAAAGTACATAGTGAAATAATATTGAAGAAAACTGGAGGTAACAAAGTCACATGACTTAACCCCTGCATTCTCCATAGCTTTTAATTTGTAGTACAGGGCTGCGGGTGTAGCTCAGTAGTAGGGACCTTACCTAGCATGCATGAAGCCCTGGCCTCCATCCCCATCACCACACAAAAAAAGTAGAGTGTAATGTAATTGGGAATGTCTAGGTGGGGGGAATCATTATACACATTTCTTAAACTAATTTGATCCTTTTTTCATAGAATGTATCACTGAACTGGGATACCAGAGAACAAACTGGAAGATGCAACTCTACAGTATAGGAACTTGGAATTTAATTGCATATTTCCCTTGGGTTGCAGGGGTGTAGAATTGCGTTGACTAGAGGTGTTCACTTGGCCCACGGCCAAGGGAGGATGGCCCACCCTTCTCTTCGGCCATTGTGTGAGCCGTGCCCCTCAACTCTCCTCAGAGGAAGTCAGTCCTACTCTTAACTTCTGATTGTTAAGGCTAGTGGACCTGGCTTTATTTGGTGACAGAGAATATAGTTCTACACTCCAAGTATGCTCCTCAAAAACCAAGGTTGAAAAAATCTTAATAGAGACTTCCAGGTCAAGGTATATTATATTAAATCCATGCATCTAATCATTCTTTAAAAAAACAAACACACACACAAAAGTACAGTGAAGTTAACTGTTACTTTTTTTTTTTTTTTTTTTGGTACCTGGGATCGAACTCGGCACCTTGTGCTTGCCTTGGCAGGCAGCAGAACCACTGAGCTAAATCCCGAGCCATGTTACTATTTTTAATTGTTGTATTTTGTTTTATCCTATATACAAGGGCATAAAACCAACCCTGGCAAGTGGGGTCAGATATGTGCTGAAACATCAGGAATGTTTTAGAAGACAGCTGAAAGATTCTAACTGGCTGAACACACTGAAACCCTAGAATGGCAGTGAGGGAAAGAGCCTGCATTATACAGCAGAGTCCTCCAACGGCTCAGGAACTCAGTGCCAGGAGCCTTTAGTCTGACAGCAAGGCATGGTTGGAGCTTGGGGTGGGTGCTAAATAAGGAAATTGGATGAAAGCACAGACAAACTTGGCTGCCTAGGTCCTCTCTCCCCACTGTACTCCTCACCCTCCACCCCAAGATGCTGGGCAACTGCCCTTCCTGGCCCTGATAGAAGTCCAGAGGGTTATATTCTGAAGAAAGATAAAACAGGATTTCTGACATGAAGAACACCAGGCATAGTTGATAACTGGATACTGTTGTGAAAATGAGAAATAAGCAATCATGCCATTAAGGAGTTTTAATTGCATATTTAACAGACCCACAAAGGATTTCACTGTGGGCGAAATTGGGACACTAGATAAAATCTGTAACAGACCTAAAGTCCCAAAGTAAACTACTCAACTCCTTGTTTGCCCGGAACTGATGTTCCAGACACCACAGTCTATAGAACAATCTGCAAATGTCTGCTGACCATCAGTACGTGACAGTTGACCACTAACCTTTGTCCCTTTTCTCATAAATCTATATGTTAACTTCCCCCTCAACCCCCTATAAGAACAGCCTCGGACTCTGAGCCAATTGCCTCTCTAAGCTACTTTGCTTTGGGAGTGCCATCTGGCCAGACTAATAAAGGTCTGTTTTACTTTCCAACTTGTCTGGTGTGTTCCTTCCTGGGTGTTCTTCACTGCAGTCAGCTCCTCAGAGCGTTTGGCAAGGCCCTCGGTCTTACACCTTTAGGAAAAACTTACAGAGCCCCATCCCCACACACATTGGTCTAATCCAACCAGAAGACCAGAAGCAAGGAGGCCACATGATGCAGTTCTTAGAGGTCAGTGGGGTAAGCCAAAGAAGGGTAGGAAGTGGATGTAGTTGGGAAAAAAGAAAACCAACTCTGTGATCCATACTGACTTCCGGGCACAAGAGCTGCAGCCCCCTTAACCACTCTGCTGTCAGAAAACAGATCTTTACTCTCTTGGAAAAAGCATTCCTAGCTGAGGTTAAACAGGCAAAACTCAGCCTTCTTGTTTCAACTTTCAGACTGTGGAATCCTTTTTCTGTTTTTTTACCACATCTTTTGCATTTTTGTGTCTTTTTTTTTTTTTTCAATTTTTACTGTTTAAAATGGTCCCCATGTGCAGTGCTGAAGTGCTATCTAGTGTTCAAAAGCACAAAAAGGCTGTGGTATGCCTTACAGAGAAAATACATGTATTTGATATTCTTTGTTCAGGCAAGAGTTATAGAATACTTTCCCATAAGTTCAATATTAGTGAAGCAAAAATACATCCACTCCAGAAAGTGCTAAAGTAACATCTATAGGTTGTAAGTATAGCAAAACATGAGCAGAACTTGTATGCTTATGACTATGTAACACTGATGAAAGAAATCAAAGAAGATATAAATTGAGCCATTCTACATAACTTTGGGGGAAAATCATTTCATAATTGAATTATTAGAACTATCTAAGGTCCAATGTCATCTTGTCCACACAAATCATAACTGTCACAGCTGAGGCCTCAATGGTCCTGTAACACACTCAAGGGCAAGAGGACATCAGCTAAAGATATCCTGGTTCTATAAGAACCAAGTAGTGATTTTAAAAAAAGAGAGAAAGGTTTCACCTGGGGGAAGGAGCCTGCTATCTCTTCCTACCTACTATTGTAAGAATGCTCTCCTTACCGCCCTCATCAACATAAGATCCTAAGATCCTCATCAACCTGAGATTCTCAGCAACATAGGATTACCACTGCCCTCTAAGTAACCTGATGCTCCCTCCCATTATTGTGTGCACCCAATAAATAATGGCTAGTTGTTGTGCCCAGATCGCGAGGTCCCCAAAGACCACCAACGAGCCGATTCCGATGCAAACACAGGAGGGTCGTTTATTCAAGCTCGAGCAGGGACTCTCAACTGTCACTGTGCAGCGGGTCAAGATTGAGAGCCCCAACTCTAAAACACCAGGGGTTTTTATAGAGATTACAGCAAGGCACAGGGTTTTCAAAAAGGTGCGGGGTTTCAAATCACACGCAAATCACACGATTGGCTAGGATTTAGCAAGTTTTGAAAGTTTA